GACAGGAGCTGTGCGGGACAAAGGGATGTGAAAATGTTTCTGAGTATACAGAGGACTCAGCTAAGCTAAGGGGTCAGAGTTCCCTTTGCCATCATACTCTCACTTCCTTCTCAGAAAAAGGCAGCCAAGGGAGATCCACAGTCCCTCCTTTGCCCAACCCGAGGCCCGCCTCCTACAGGCTGGCCTCTAGTACTGCCACCCCCTGACTGGTCACCTCTCACATTAACATCTGCACATGAGATAAGGCTCAGGTAGGCCTGACACCTAGAGTGCAGCGTTCCTGGTGACCACTGTCCTGCAGAATAAGGAGGTGGGCCCACTGGTCATGTCCTGCACCCAGTGAGGGCTCACCATGCATCACAGCAGGAATGCAAAGGAGATGTTATGCACCCAGCCCTGATGCTCCAGTGAGGATGCCAGGGCTGTTCCTCACCAGTCTTGGGGTATTTATCAGGCAGTCTCTCACTTCACCCAGCCTCTGAAGGGAAGTGCTGCCTCGAGGGTCACAATGGGGAAGCTGAAAAAAACCAACGAGTGCTCACCCAGCACTAGTGACAACAGCCAAGTAGAAACCACCACGTGGCCATCGATGGGTGTCGGACATGGGATCTCAGTCTATCTCTGCGATGCACTACGACTCAGCATAAGAGGGAGTGTGTACTGACAGGTGTGACCACTGGAGGAACCTTGAAAATATCATGCCCAGCCCTAGCCAGTTTGGCTCAGTGGATAGAGCATCAGCCTGCGGACTGAAGGGTCCCAGGGTCAAGGGCACATGCCTGGGTTGCGGGCTCAATCCCCAATAAAGGGCATGCAGGAGGCAGTCGATCAATGATTCTCTCTCATCATTGATGTTTCTCTCTCTCTCTATCCCTCTCCCTTCTTCTCTGAAATCAAGAAATAAAAAATAAACAATATCATGCTCAGTGAAAGAAGCCAATCACAAAGGACTACATGGTATGATTTCATTTATGTGAACTGTCCGAATAGGCAAATCCACAGAGACAGAAAGCAGGTTAGGAGTTGTGGGTATAGAGGTTGACTTCCAATGGGGATGAAGTTTCTTTTGGGGATGATAAGAATGTACTAATATTGAGTGTGGTAATGGTTACTCAATGCTGTGCATATACTATGGGCCACTGAATCGTACACTTTAATAAGGGAATTGTCTCTCAATAAAGCTGTAAAAAACACACGCAGAAGGAAAGGGCATAAGACAAAGGACACATATGGGGATGAGCTGTAACCCTCAACACTGGCAGAATGCAGGTTGCCTCCGGAGGAGCAGGTCTCCGATGAGACACAGAGGTCAAGGTGAAGGGTACCCCACTGTCCTCCAGTAGGAGGCAGGGGAACTTTGGGAGTTGTGAGAAGGCACACCTGGACCCCTGCCTGACCCTGGACTCGCCCAGCCCTGCAGCACTGCCTGTCTCCTTTTCACAGTCCCCGAGGAGCTAGAGGCAGAACTAGGTGTCCACACAGTAGCTCAGTTCATGGCCTAGTTTCCAGCATCATCAACGTGGTGTGCTGAGGGCTAGAGCAGACTACCAGTGCTCACTTCTCCTGCAGGAGGTTCCTGCCTGTGTCTGCCCAAGAGACTGGTGCTGGGCAGCTTCTTAGCTGAAGGGGCCCGTTCTCATGGCAAACCCACAGGCACAGCTGCAAAAGCCTGACGACCAGTGCAGGGACTCCAGGCTACAGCAGCACCACTCAGGTGCCTCACTCCCACCCTGGCCTTCTGCAAATGCAGGCACACCAGGACAGGCCAATGTTTCAGAGACCCAGGAAGGCAGGCAGGCCGAGCCCCAGGCACTGAGAACTGTCCTGAGTAGGGAGGCTGACCTCCAAAGCCTTTTCTGGGTGGCTACTCAGTGGCTCATGTGCTGACCCACCTCACTGGGCTCACCCACACAGACCCTGAGCCGCCTTTGAGCCCATGGGCCTTGTCTGAGGCCTGTGTTCTCGGGCAGCCAAGCAGGGAGTGACTGAAACTCCTGGAGCCTCTGGGACCCCCACCCAGACAAGTCAGCTCATTGGCCTGGGTGCCGCTGGCAGAGGGCTGTAAAGGCTCAGTGGTCTTAGGGTCTGCAGTCACTGCTGCAAAAGCGGAAGGTGGAGAGGGGCACTGAAGGTGGTGGGAGGAAAGCGGCTAAGAGGCAGGGTGGGCCTGGCTGCCTGAGCTCAAACCCTGTCTTTGCTGTGAGAATGGGACCTTTATTCAGCCTACCTCGCTTTCCTTGTACAGAAGGAATAGTGGCAGTACTTGCCTCACAGGGCTGTGGCATGCAGGGAATAATCAGAAAACATCTATTATCATTCCCTACAGTTCCCCTTAAAAATGAACTTTAAGCCCTAGCTGGTTTGGCTCACTAGATAGAGCGTTGGCCTGGGGACTGAAAGGTCCCAGGTTCGATTCCGGTCAAGGGCATGTACCTTGGTTGCGGGCACATCCCCAGTAAGGGGTGTGCAGGAGGCAGCTGATCGATGTTTCTCTCCCATCAATGTTTCTAGCTCTCTATCCCTCTCCCTTCCTCTCTGTAAAAAAATCAATAAAATTATTTAAAAAAATGAACTTTAAAACTTTTCTATGACCTCTGTTCAGTAACAAACTGTATGTGGGGATACTCAGATGCAGGGACGGATGTGACAGCGCTAACTAGAGGGGATGAGGAAGAGGTATAAAGGCCAGAGGTAGCCTGGGCTAAACCCTGCCCCAAACACGGGCCCTCAGGGGAGGGTGCATCAGAGGGTTAGAAACAGCCACGCAGTTTCTGTTTCCGGATGTGGCTCACTGCCCAGGATGTCCCTTGAGTGTGACAGAGAACCAGCTTCCTCGGGGGCCCCTGGGGAGTGCCTGGGAGCTCTCCCACAAGCTCCCCTGAGGGGCTCCTGCTCGAAAGCCTATAACCCTCCTTCTGTCTGGGTGCTGGAGCAGGGGTACCTGTCCCATACAGGGCCGCTCTCACCACCAGAAAACCTGTTTTGAGAAAGGAAACTACTTAGTCAGGTAGCTGTAGAGGGAAATAACCAAACCACCAGCAAGGTTTTTAAAAGGAAAGGCGGAGCCTTTAAATCTTCTTTGCTCATCTGTATACATGCCTTCAAAACACCGGGCCAGAAACTTCAGGAAAGTAAGAAGTAGAGACAGAATAGCTAGGAACACAAGCCAGCAGGGAGAGCCAGGGAGTAGGTCTTTTAAAGGCACAAGCTGTAGAAGAGGCCCTTGTAGGACCAGCCCTAGAAACAGGAGAGGGGTGAGATTATGCTAAGAAAAGCAGCGGGGAGGGGCTTTATAAGAGATGTTTCACAACAATCCTGTGTAGTTCTGTATTCTGGAAACCACATTTTAAGAAACGATGTACTTGGATAAAAAAAGAAAAAATACAGTTTTGTGCAGACCAAGAGGCTGGAAACACTGTGGCCCAGGGCTGGGTGAGTGTCAGTGCCATGAGGACACCTCTGAAACCTAGGGAAGGGTTTCTAAAAGGAGAAGCCTCACAGTTCTCTCAGTGATGGACTGAAAGACGCAGAACACACACCTTCAAATACCCACTAGTATGTGCTTACAAGAGACAAGTGCTGTTTAGAAGCTACCCCTGTCAAAATGTCACCAGCAGCATGAAAAAGTCTGCAGGGCTCTCTGTGCTGCCTGGCATGGGGCGGGGGAAAGGAAGGGAAGGCTTTCTGGATCCTGACACTATCCCGGCCACCTCCCTGGGTGAGGAGCAGTCACACACTCACCCAGCAGTTGCAGCGACCACTCTGTATCAAGAGCCTCCCAAGTCAGCTACCTTTGTTTGCAACTAGGGCCTCCTACCAGCCTGGGTGCACCTCAGCCCAACCCCTTGGAGTGAAAGCTCCATCTCCTCGGCAGCTCTTCCAGCCACCAAGCCGCTTCTCTGGGCCCGCTCCCCACCTGGCTGACTTCACTCAAGAGCTGCATTATTCAGTCACTTGGGAGATTCAGAGTGGACCCTCTGATCTCAGCTCCCTCCCAACCAGGCTGGCAGCTCCAAGATGACTTGAGTGAAGCGCTCAGCTGGGAGGAGCCCGCATCCTCAGGTTTCTGTTCCCCGGACCCTGCAGGAGGCCTCTGCAAGCCCTGGTGCAGGCAGCTGGAAACCCTGGCAAGGTGCTTCGCGACTGCTCCCCTGCGGGCCGGCCTGCCTGGCTGATCGGTGATCGATGTGACCCAAGTTCTCCATCAGAAAGAAAGGAAGCAGCACCGGACTCCAAACAAGCCCCGCTCCTAACTTTAGGGAACTTCTCTCCTCGGCAAACTAGACAGCAGACAGCCGGGCCGAGAAAGAGTTGATAGCAAAAGCCACAGGCATTTATTTACAACCGCCCACTCCAGTCTCCGCGGGGCCGAATCCAAGCGCCGGGCGCAGAGGTCGCGCGGCTGCCCTCTGAGCACCGGGGGAGGCCCAGAGGCCGTCAGCGGACCCCGGGACCCGGGACGGGATGCAGGTTGCCCGCGTGCCGCCGGGGTGGTGGGAGGAGTGCCAGGGCTGGCGGGGCCGGGGCCAAAGCGGATGAACGCGCCGAGGGCAGGGAGGCGCGGCGTCGGGAGCCCCGCTCCCACGCCCCTGCGTCCTCCCCGCACCCGGCTCCCCGCCGTTCCCGGCGGCCGGCGGCCTCCGACCCTCCGGCCGGGCGCAGACCCCTCCCCGCGGCGGAGCGCGGTCCCGCGGCCGCCCGGAGGCCGACGCACTCACGTGTGGCCACAGCTGCCGATGGCCACAGGCCGGTGGTAGACCTCCAGGCAGATGGGGCAGCTGTACTGCGCCTCCAGGCCGCTGTCGCCGCCCGCGGGCCCCCCCGGGGGCTGTCGCTGCTGAGCCGAGGCCACCAGGCTGCGGAACATCGCCATCCCGGGGCCAGGCCCGCCGCCGCCGCTGTCCCGGCCGGCCGGCCAGGACCGGCCCTCGCGTCACGGCCGCGACGGCGTCGCGCTGACGTCTCCGGGCTCACCCCGCCTCCGCGGCGGCGAGGCAGCGCGCGACGGCGATCGGTGACGTCATCAGAGCGCGCCCGCCGCCGGCAGGGCCGCCGCCTGCCGCTCACCCGGGGCTACCATGTGCCAGGTGGGCGAGGAATATGGGGCGCCGGCGCCCGAGGTGCCGCCGCCGCCGCCGCCGCCGCGGGCTGGGTAAGAGCTGGGCGCCACCCCGCCCCTGCGGCTCGCGGCGCCCCCAGCCGGCGGCCTGTTCTACCCCGAGGTCCCGGCCGCCGCGCTCCGGAAGCCCAGCCTCGCAGCCCGGGGTCCCGGGGAGGCTGGAGCGCGCTCCGCAGCACCTGGGAGAGCCTGTCCGGCCGGTGGTGGACTCCCCAGGGCGGGCCCCCCTCTGCTCTCTCGCACCTCAAGTTCTTGCAGTCGGTGGGACAGCGCTGCCGCTGACCATGCCGTCTTTCCTGGAAGAGAAGTCGGCTTTCCCGTCGCTGTCACCCACCGACTCCCCGCCTCCCGTCCTGAGCCACCCAGAGCAGGTTGACGCCCCTGGCGGGCCAGCCCTGGAGAGATGAGAGGTGGCCTTTAGGTGCCCCCTGAACGGCTTTAACAGACCGGAATCCTCCAGGGCCCTTGTCGTTTTTCAAATTGGAAGTTTGGTTAAGACACAAATGGTTGCCCGTGTTCAGTCGCCTACATGACCTCTCCCCTACCCGAGGTTGGGATGAGAAGCAGGACCTCTCTCTGAAGTCTTAGGGAGGGGCGTGTGCAATGTGTTCTTGTTCTCTCTTCCCCCCCATGTCTCCAAAGCCGTGAGCTGAAGTGTGTGAAGTGCTCGGAAGGCCTGCCCGTGGTGGTGATCCGAGCAGGGGACGCCTTCTGCAGGTGAGGCCTGGAGGAGGATAGGAGACCCTGGCAAGAAGGGCTTGCTCAGAAGCTAGAATTGCCTTCCTTTCTGTGTGGGTACCAGTCTCCCACCGTTCAACTGAGGATCAGGTGGCAGAAAGGTATATGAGGGCACTTAGGAGGAGAGCTGGCAGAGTGAGTGAGTGAGGTGCAGGCGGGATAGCGTTTCTGGGCAGCTAGAACACATCGCAGGGCGATTTGGAGCATCCTGGGATCTTGGGCAGGTGCTCCGGGTGATGCCTGTTTTACTTGTGAGGGACAGAGGAGTGGAAGGTGGGCTCAGCCTCCCCCTCCCCGTGCCTCGGGGCGAGGGGGGGTCCTTTATACAGGAGCAGAGACTTATTCTCAGAGGGGCCTGGGCACCAGCTTGTTCTGTTTTATCTGAAGCTCTGCTGTGCCCCTGTCACATCGCCTTTGAATCAAAACTCTTCTGTGTCTCATCACTCCACTAGATTCACAGCTCCAGGAGGGCAGGGCTGGTCTCCCATTTTACCCCTGTTAATTCCTGGTGATGTTGCACGCTTTGTATAGCAAATGAACATTTTTTGAATGAGTGATCAGCTCCCATCTTAAAATTGGTCTCCAAGAGTGTCAGACTCTGCTTTCTAAAATGTTCCAAAAAAGAAACTGAAGGGACTGAATAAATTGTTTTCCAAAAACTTTCTCGTCCCTGAATATCTTTTGGGAGCTTAGTAGACTTGGTGTGTGCTCAGCAGGACGAGGTGTACGCCACCAGGAAATACATTTTAGGCAAAGAAGCCACTGCTTTAATCACTTCAGAGCATCTAAAAAGGATGATCCCTCCTTGGAGTGCTTGGAGAACTCGCTGATAAGAGGACAGACTGCAGCAGCTCTAAGCAAGGCCTGCAGGACTTCGGGGCCCACAGCTCCCCCCTGCGCTTGCTCAGTTTTGGGAAAATGTGGAAAGCTGACTTTCTGGTTGTAGGTTTTGGCAGTCTAGGTCTTGAACATGTTTCCTCAATGATTGTGAGGATAGGCACATGTGGGAAACGCTGGCCTGACCCAGAGGGAAAGTATGGTGCAGGGAGGACATGGAGTGGGGTAGCCACAGGGTGATTCCCCCACCTCCTCACCCGCAGTGTCTGTGTCTGCTGGGGGAACCTCACCACACTCCGGCTTTCCTGGGAGGCACTTCCTATGGCTGGTCACTTGGGGTCCCTAGAGCTCCAGCATTTTGCAGCTAAACACTGAGTTGAGTTACTGTCCTCAGAAGACCTGTGGGGTGTTTGGTTGGCTCATTATAAGGAGTTCCTGTTCAGTGTTGGGGGGGTTGTTGTGGACACAAGGATAGCTGAGCAGGAAAAAGAAGCAGACAGTGCATAACCCCAGGCATGGGGCAATTTTGGGGGTACAGTGTTGCCTCCTCTTTTCAGTGTGCTGTTCTCCACCCAGGCTGTCAGGGGAGCTTTAAAAAGCAGATGCCTGGGCCTCATCCCAATATACTGTGATGTAGTTAGTGATTCTAATGTGCAGTCAAGGCTGACCACCTCTGACCTAGTGAGCCCGAGAATCAGCTGGAAGTTTTACCGAGAACGCAGGTTCCCGGGACCAGCCCTGGAAGTTCTGATCTGTGGGTTTGGGGAAGAGCCCAGGACTCTGCGTTTCCAGGAGCTTCCTGGGCATATCTGGTCCCAGCCGGATCAAAGCACTAGAGAAGGGCCTGTGTGGAGCTTCAGGTCTCTGGGCTCCTGCAGCCTTCTCAGTGTTTCCCCCTTCACCCCAAGAGGTGCTTCTCTTCGTGGGGGTCTTGGAAGGGGTCATCAACTCTGCTCAGGGAAGGGCTGCGCCTGCCTATGTCCATCTGTTCCACCAGCTGGGCCTTTCTGAGTGCCTGCAGGTGGCACCAGGCTCCTGGCCCCTCAGGCATCGGTTCATACTGGTAAGGATTGTAGGGGTGATGCATGTGGGCCTTCCCATGTGGTAGGCTCATCCTGGGGCAACCATATCTGGTGAGAAACCCTCCATGCCGACCTCGGGGCAGAGCCTCATTGTCAAGATGCTTCTTTTAAAGATGGGAGTTGGTAACTGAGCAGGCATCAGGCTGCCCCCCTGCAGAGGCCAGTATTGGTTTCCCTCTCTTGGCATGGAGGTAGGCAACCAGGGCCATGTGGCTGCAGCCAGTGGTGGTTTGTGTTGCAGGGACTGTTTCAAGGCGTTCTACGTCCACAAGTTCAGAGCTGTGCTTGGGAAGAACCGGCTGATCTTTCCAGGAGAGAAGGTAGAGTGTGGAGTGACTCCTCTGTAGAATCCCCAACTGGGCATTTTGGCCCCCCGGGCCCTGGCTCTTAACCCGTGCCACCCTTCCTGCAGGCAGCCTGTCCCAGCTGCATCCTACCAGCTCCTCCCACTGTCCTGTGCCTGGGCTCTGAGAATGGACCCATGTCGGGATATCCATAGTGGAGGGGGGTGGGGGCATGCTCATGTTGGAGATGTGGTGCCCTCTAGCAGTGTTCTTTCTTTCCCAGGTGCTCCTGGCATGGTCTGGGGGGCCTTCGTCTAGCTCCATGATCTGGCAGGTCCTTGAGGTGCGTCTCCACACTGTTCTCCTGTGCCCAGGTCACCGCCCAACCGAGCTTGAAAGTGGAGGGTCAGCACCAAGGGGCTCTTGTTTAGAACTAGAGAGAGCAGCCCTGGAGGGCTCCTGGATGTGTATGCAAGAGGTGCACAAGCCAGGAGCTGTGCCCGGAGTATCCAGCTGTGTCCCAGTTTAGCACTCTGTCCATTTGCTCTACTGTAGAAACATAATCACTGGGAAAAGGACGTCCTAGGGGCACAGCAGGGTGTCACTCAAGGTGGCCTTGAAGCCATGGGCCTTCTCTCATCCTGGGAGTGTGTCTGGGGCAAGACATTGAAATAGAAGCAGGTGTCTTGGGAGACAAAAGGTGGTTTGGCCCTGTCAGCTTCTTTGAGAAGTGGAAGAGAATGAGAGGCAGGGGGAGGGATGCTGTCAGGGGAGGCAGTGTTGGTGAAGACAGCTTATGTCGAGGTGGGGAGGGGAGAAGAAGGAACACTCCTGGTTGTGTTGGCCTGCCCGGATCACAGTGGGGCAGTTACGGTTTCTCCCGATGGTGCTGGGGAGGCTTTGGCCAGGGGGTGGGACACACATGACCTGCACTGCCTATGAGGGGTGTAGACTGGAGGGACTGGGGACAAGGCTGCAGCCGTGGGGTGGTCTGTATGGGATCCTGGGAGGTGCCCAGAGCTCGAGCTGGTGCGTCTGCTCTCACTTTATGTCCCCTAAACCTGGCTGGAGGATCCGAGATAAGCGCCTGCTCCCCCAGATGTTTGTCCAGCACGTGGTGCCCTTCCATCTGAGCAGCAATTTCTTGCTTTTGTCCTGTTGTCCTGTCCATGCTGAGCAGCCAGAGGAGCGTGGGTAGGGGCATGGATGGCCATGTGGATCCAGCTGCTTTTCGGGGCACTGCCAGGAGCAGGAACAGATGGGAGGGCGGGCTTTACAAGGGAGATGCAGACACCCAGGTAGTTTGAAGTGAGTCAGGCTATGCGGCTTCCCTCGGCAGCCTCTCCACTACAGGGGGGGGTCATTGCCCCTTACAGAGCATGGTTTCTGTAGGGAGGGTCCTGTGGCTTCTAGGCGTGAGGCTGAGGCCAGTCCCTTCCCCTCTCCAGGGCCTGAGTCGAGATTCTGCCAAAAGACTGCGTTTTGTGCCAGGGGTTGTCTACGTTGATGGTACGTGTGGCCTTTTTTCTCTCCAAGATCCCAACCGCTTGGTGCAGGCCCCCTGAAACAGCTGGCACTGTGCCCACACCCAGGCCCTGGAGACAGTGCATTTGTCCACCAACAGATGGCACTGCTGGTGTCATAAGTCAGACCATCAGAGAGTCAGGCAGGAGCGTCGGCCTGGCCGCCTCTGCGGGATCTAGGGCACTGAGTGAGATGGTTGAGTTCACTACCCAAGGGGCTGGATGCCAACCTGCCCCACCTCCCCTCCCCACCTCGTCCCTCGGCCACTACAGAAAACCCACTGCCCACTCTGCAAGCGCTCCTCCACGGAGGTCTGCAGCCTGTGGTTTCTACAGAAGCTGCTGCTCTGCAGAGCACAGGCTCGAGGGATCTCATGTGTTGGCCCGTCCTGCCTGCCTGGGCTCGCCTCCTACAAGCCATGACTCCTTTCCTTCTGCCTTTTTCAGAGGGAGCAGCCTGTGGACAGAGCCCGGAGGACAGAGCCAAAACCCTAGCCGAGATGAAGCTGATCCTGCAGACAGTCGGTTTTCCCTGGCACATTGTGGCCTTAGAAGAGGTACGTGGGCCCACCCCTGAGAAGGACCCCCGGAGGTGCCCGCTGGGATGTCCACGAGGAGTGCATGCCCACTTGGGGCCAGGCTGCGGCCTCTCGCCGGGGCCGCGCCTCGCGATATACAGTGGTGGGCCGGGGCCTCACACAGCTTCTCCACCCTCCCCTGCCCTGCAAGGTGTTCGGCCTGCCGCCGTCCGTGCTTCGCCACCTTGCCCAGGAGCCCTCAGGGACCAAGGGGGCCTATAAGGCAGCTGTGGACAGTTTCCTCCAGCAGCAGCACGCACCAGCCCCAGGGGAGGAGCAGCTGAGCCAGCCTGGCTCCCAGGACCCCCAGGGCCCAGCGGGGCTACCTACAGCTGCCCAGACCGAGGCCCAGGCACCCACAGCTGCCCAGACTGAGGCTTTATCTAGACTCTTCGACTCAGTGAAGACACTGACAGCCAAGGAGGAGCTTCTTCAGACCCTGCGGTGAGCCTCCCCCCCCCCCCCCAGGTCCTGGCCCTGTCCCTGTCCTCCCTGTGTCTGAGATCCCTTGCTCTGCTCTGCAGAACCCACTTGATTCTGCACGTGGCCCGGACCCATGGCTACTCCAAGGTGATGACGGGAGACAGCTGTACCCGCCTGGCCATCAAGCTCATGACTAGCCTGGCGCTGGGGAGAGGGGCCTTCCTGGCCTGGGACACGGTACTCAGGGGCCAGGCTGCCCAGGGGCCCCTCCCACCCTCACCCTTTAGGCCCTTTCACTTGAAAGTAGTATCTTGTGAATCAGTCTTGGGGTCTTCCTCATGGAGGGAGGAGCCCGACACCCCTCAGCTGGCAGGGAAGGAGGGAGCTATAACCCTGTCAGCTGGGTACGGGGAAGAACATATTCCCCCCCCCCCCTCCCCAGGGCTTCTCTGATGAGAGGCACGGTGACGTGGTGGTGGTACGGCCCATGCGCGACCACACACTGAAGGAGGTCGCCTTCTACAACCGCCTGTTTGCTGTGCCCTCTGTCTTCACACCAGCTATCGACACCAAGGTAACTTGCAGGACAGGGCAGAGGCTGCCAGCACGTCTTCAGCAGCCTAAGCTGTGTCCACACCAGCCCTCTAGCTTCAGTGCTTGCCACCTGGTACCACAGTGGCGTCCCCATGTCCCCCAGCATCTTGGAGCGTATACAGGATATCCCTTGGAGTTGGAGGACAGGTTGGTTGGTGCCTTCGAGCGGGAGAGGGCTCACAAGGAGAGGGAGTTGCCACACCCTGGTACCCATCCCTGGGAAGGCGAGGTGCCCAGCTTGGGGGGAGGGGTGGTCATGGACATGGGGAAGGGGATGATGGAGGGGCAGAATGACCGTTGTCAGAGGTACTTAAAATTTTGACATACTTTTTTTTGTTTGTTTGTTTTTTGGTGTGTTTCTTCGTTAATCCTCACCCGAGGATATTTTTTCATTAATTTTTATTGAGAGTGGAAGGGAGTGGGGGGAGAGAAACATCGATGTGAGAGAGGCACATTGATTGGTTGCCTCCCACACGAACCCAACTTGGGTGGGGCAGGGAGGGAACTCACAACCCAGGTATGTGCCCTTTGACCAGGAACTGAACTGGCAACACTTTGATCATTGATTTCAGAGAGGAAGGGAGAGGGAGAGAGAGATAGAAACATCAATGATGAGAGGGAATCATTGATCAGCTGCCTCCTTCATGCCCCACCCTGGGGATTGAACCTGTATCCCGGTCATGTGCCCTGACCAGGAATTGAACTGTGACCTCCTGGTTCATTAGGTCAGTGCTCAACCACTGAGCCACGCCAGTTAGGCCATAATTTAATTTTTAAAAATGTCCGTGTTTAGAAGTGTGCGCCTGATTCACTCCAGTCCCAACAGGGCAGACTCTCAGGAGCTGACTGTGGAGGAACCCATGGCCCCTTGGCTAGGCCTGGGGGCTGCTCTGCACCAGGGCCACTCCAGCCCCCCCTCTGATTGTCCCTAGGCCCCTGAGAAGGCCAGCATCCACCGGCTTATGGAAGCCTTCATGCTCAGGCTGCAGGCCCAGTTCCCCTCCACAGTCAGCACTGTGTACAGGTGTGTGTTTGTGCCGGGGAGTGGGAGTGGGAGTGGGAGCGTAGGCACTGAGCTCACCACCCTGGGGCTCAGGTCAGGCAGGAGCCAGGCTCTGGTTAACCGGTGGTGCCTCTGTGCCCTGTCCTCACACTTCCAGGACGAGTGAGAAGCTGGTTAAGGCCCCAAGGGATGGCAATTCTGGTGGCCCCCCAGGTCCCCGCTGCCTGCTCTGCATGTGTGCACTGGACATCGACACTGCTGGTCTGTGCTGCATGTTCTCAGGGTTCATGGGTGGAAGGGGTACCGGTGAGTGGGTATTGGGGTTTACCAATCCTGAGGTCCCCTCAGTTCATTTCTGCTTACAGATAGTGCCACGGCTTTTGGGGCCCAGACCTCACATCTCTCCCAGATGCAGCCCCCCACCCCACCAGCTGAGGCACCCACAACACCCTGCTGCTCTGCAGGGGTGGGCAGGGCCCAGGGCTGTTGCCGGGGGGCTGGGCCCTGCAGGAGGTGAGTCTTCTTTCCTGATCCACCCCACCCCATGGCTGGTCCCTTGCAGCTACACAGAGGGTGGTGGTACACCTGGGACCAAGCCCTCGGGCCCTGCACTGAGGGGCCAAGACCAGGCACACAGGTCCAGCTCTGCTCTCACAGGGAGGACCCCCGAGCCAGTGTCATCGAGCAGCTATGCTACGGGTGCCGTGTGAACATGAAGGACTTGGTGAGTGGATCCTGCCTTGTGTTGGTGATAGGGGAGGCCCTCCCACTCTTGGGGTGAGGGTGCAGGTTGGCACTGGCTTAGCTTTGAGCAATGTAGCCCATCACTCATGCCGGCTCTCTGTTGCAGCCTTCCTTGGACCCCCTGCCACCCTACATCCTGACTGAGGCCCAGCTCCGTAGCCAGAGGTACTGGTACCTGCTGTGCTGGGAGCCCTGAGAGGGGTCCTTCTGGATGTGAGCACCTCTGGGCTGATTCCCACTGTGTGGCTTCCCCCAGGGCCTCGGTCTTGCAGGAGATACAGGAGTATCTGATTGACAGTGATGATGAGGTGCAGACCGGTGAGAGCTGAGCCTCAGGATGGACCCCTGGGACCACCCCGCCTGGACCTCTGCCATGCTGGAGCAGGACACAGGGATGGGCAGGCAGCGTGCTGTCATCCGTTCATATAAATAAAAGTTTTAATTAAAAAAACTCTACAGTACGTGTGGAGAAAGGAGGGCTGGGCCCCCTGGCCCAGTGTGTCTGGCACTGGGCCCTGCAGGGACAACGGAAAGGGACAGCAGTCCTGTGCTGGGCCGTGGAGGGGCCACAGCTCCCTTCTGACAGCAGCATCAAGGCTCAGTGGGCCAGGAGGACCTGTCACAGCTGGTGGCCTGGGACTGGAGTATCTGCTCCTGTGGCCTGAGGAGCACTGCCCTCCTTCCTGGCAGGCCGGCTCCTTCATTCACGTGCACACGGAGCCTGGCTCCTACTCCTTTTCGCGGGTCCACTTGATCATGGTCTCCGGTGAGCGGTAGAGGAAGATGAGCTTGGCGTATAGCTCCTCTTCCAGCTCCAGCTCTCGCGTCTCCCGCACCAGGAAGATGTCCTGGCAGAGCTTGAGGATTCGGTCCACACACGGCAGCTCCTCGAACATGATGGAGTGTGAGATCTCACTGAAGAAGCCACGCACAAACTTGCCGATGACCAGCACGATGGACACATAGAGCCCCATGATCCTGCCAGGCAAGTGCGGGTGAGTCCTGGGGGCTGCTACCCACAGCCGCACCCCAGCCCCCAGGCCCACGGCACTGCACTCACCCGTAGCCAGCCAGGAAGCCCAGGCTGGGTGGGCTGACCTTGTCGTTGAAGATGACCATGGGCAGCAGGTTGCAGTCAGCCTGGCAGTCCTGTAGCTCGATGACCCACCACTCAAGGAAGCCAGCAGCCCCCGAGCCCACACGCTCCCTCCGCAGCTGGATGCGCACGCCGAGGTAGTCCGCCTCCTCGTCTGGATCAGAGCGGTGAGACAGTCAGGCCACACCCTCTCCCAGGGCAGAGGCCATGGCCCAGCACCACCTTCCCCCAAACACACTCACTGGGCTGCAGCTGCTTCACGGGGTTAGCTTCAGGCCCGTTGGGGGCACGGATGTACTTGGGGAAGAGGTTAGGGATGACCCTGTGGGGAGGAATCCAGTGGGTCAGGTCTGGCCCAGCCTTCCTGGTGCCCCCAGGCCCCTTGGTCCCCACTCACACGGACTGGTCCGAGGTGCCCTCCAGCAGGCTGGCCAGCTGCCACCGCTCAGTGCTATTGGGGGCCAGGTCCAGGGTGTGCTTCTCGTTGGTGTACTCTACAGTGCCTCCCTTGGCCAGGTCCCTGCAAGCAGGGGTGCAGCGTGACCCACCGAAGCGTGTACCCCACCCAGGCCCCATCCGAGCCCAGGACGCACCTCTGGAAGTTCCAGGTGAAGCGCAGGGTGATGTCGGCAGTGCCGTTGTACAGCTCCCGCTTCATCTGGGCCCTGCTTGGCGGGCTGATGCGCCACAGAGCCCCGGAGCTGCCCTCGATCTGCGCTGTGACGATGTCCTCGGGGCCGTACTGGCTGATGAACTGCATGGCCAGCTGAGCACAAGACGGCGCCTCAGTGGGGTGAAGCCAGGCCACCCCCCAAAAGCCATCCCTTCCCCTGCCAGGCAGATGCAATGTGGGGGCTGCTCACCGGGTGGGGGTCAAACTGCCTGGACAGCTCCTCATAGGCCTGTTGTGTAAAGGGCACGATGGACGGCTGCTGGGCGCTCATGGTGAACAGGGGCTGAGGGTGAAACAGGGTGACATGGTGCCGGGGGAGCCTCCCTGACTCCCCAGGTCGCCAGCACGCAGGCCACGCTCTGCATAGTCCATGAGGACCAGAAAGGGAGGAGTGGGAATTGGGGCTGCCTGGCCAGAGCCCTCAGTGTGCGGGCAGAGCTTGCGCCTGCACTGCTTCCCGTGCTGGCGAAGGCAGCTGCTCACCTCGTAGCCCCCCAGCTTGAGGGTGACGGTGACGTCGATGGGCTGGTTGACAACGCCGACGACAGAGCGCACCAGAGACATGAAGAGCAGCGGGAACCAGATGATGGCCACAAGGAACAGGATGATAAGGCCACCCATGCCATACTTAACGATCTTCTTCTTCTTCTGCCCCTTGGGCTGTGGGTATTTCTGTGGGGGGCCGGTACGGGTCAGCTGCTCAGCGCCACCTTCCCAGTGCCCTGCGGCAGGCCTCCATCTCTGCTCCCTGCCACAGTGCTGTCTCAGACCCCTCCCTCCCTCTGCTCCCAGAGCTGCCCTCCACACCTCACCTTTCCATCCTCAAGGCCATGGTCTTGAGCTCACCCCGTGGACCCATAAAGCCTTAATTGAACATCCAAACTGACTGCAGAGCTATAGCAGCTAAGTCTGTGGTGCTGGACAGGACAGAGGTCAATGGAGAGACTCTGAGCCCCCGACAAACCCACACAAGGAGACAGGTGCCAACCTCTCAGTAGGGAAAGGACAGCCTTTTCAATAAATGGACCCTTAACTAACACCATGTGCAAAAATTAAGACCTAAATCACTGAAACTTCAGGGCAAATCTTTGTACCTTATATTTGGCAAAATATCCTCAGATCTAATGCCAAAAGCTCAAGCAACAAAAGCAAAAATTTAAACTAGACATCATGAAAAATAGACTTGTGTGCTTCTGAGGACACCATCAAAAAAGGAAAAAGCCAGCCACAGGATGGAGGAAATACCAGCAAGTCGCATCTCTGATAGTCTGGTATCCAGAGTGTCCATGGAACTCTCTCAACTCAATAAAAGGTATGAATGTGCCACCTTTGGTTTACCTAACAGTTGCTTAACCCAAGGAAAAAATGGGCAAAGGCTCTGAAAAAACACTCTCCACAGAAGGGAGACATGGCAAATAAGCACAGGGAAAGGTGCTTACCATCAGCCAACAGGGAAATGCAAAGTCAAAACCACAGGGACGGGTAAAAAAAACGCCAGACCAGAAGGGTTTGCGAGGAGGTGGCAGAGCAGTGGGACTGCAGTGGAGCAGTCGCCACGGAAAACAACTCGAGAGTGAAAGCAGGAGTTACCGCAGGGCCCAGCAAGCACATCCCTATGTGTCTATCCAGGAGAAATGGAAACTTGTGTGTTCAGAGTCTTATATGTGAATATCCATAGCAGCATTTTTTTATAATAAAAACAAACCCAAATGTCTATCACCATTTGGAACTGTTGAATAAAAGGTGGCATGAACCATAACCATAGACATAGACCTAGCACTAACCTCAACACTAGACTTAGCCCTAACCCTAACCCAACCCTAACATTAACCCTAGCCCTAGCCCTAACCCTAACACTTTTACCAAGTCCTAATTCTATCCCTACCTCTAAACCTAACCCTAGCCCTACCCATAACTCCTAACAACCAAAAAGTTAAACTATTCTGCCATAAAAAGAAATTGTGACACATACTACAACATGGATGAACTTTGATAATATACTGAGTGAAAGAAGCCAGTCACAAAGGCCACCCTGATTTCATTTATATGAAATTTCCAGAACAGGCAAATCTATACAGCAGGTGGTGGCTGCCAGGAGCTGGGCAATGAGGGGAATGGACAGGGACTGCTAATGGTGCGAAGAGCATGTTCTAACATTGTGGTGATGGCTGCACAACTCTAAACATACTGAACCACCAAACTGCACACTTAAAATGGGCGAATCTTATGTATGAATTCTCTCTGTAAAGCTGCTAAAAAAGAACAAAAATTCAGCTAACGTTATGGCAGGCATATTCCACTGGGCAATTTGCTCAGGCCACTGCCAACTGCCTGCCCCTAACAGGGCAGAGTTCACTATCCCCTCTCCAAGAAGCCCCTCTGGCTGCCAGGGAGAGTTCTAGAAATGCTCTCTGACCCACAGTGGCTCTCTGGCCTCATGTTGCCATGGTTTCTGAGCCCAAGGAGGGGCCGCCAGTGTTTGGTTCTCACAGTTCCCGTCGGCCCCAATGGGGAGTGACCAGTGTCCCCTCTCTACCCTCGCCTTGGGCCCAGGCACCTTTTCTGTCTCTCGGCTGCACTTGATGATGAAGATGTTGGCATAGATGTCCTCCACGCACATCCAGTTGGACAGGGACAGCGTGGTGTCTGTCCAAACCCAGTCCATCACGGCCCGCAGCTCCACCAGGAACGGCACCAGCCGGAACCTACCCGAGACGGGGGACCCATCAGGAGGGGCTGAGGGAGGGCAGCCTTGACCCCCCTTGGGCCGGCCCACACTCACCCCTGGAAGAGGAAGAGGTTGAGGTGGTTGTACTTCTTGGTGAGGAAGTTGCCAAGGATGCGGGTGGGGTAGCCACAGCGGATCTGGTAGGCGGACAGGGCGAAGTAGATGCACTTCACAAAGTACCACAGCTGGGCTACTGCGTTCTGGCTGAACATCCTAGGTGGGACAGGAAGCCCAGATCAGGGCACCCTGCCCGAGTCCAGTAGCTGGAGCCCCCAAGGTCGCTGGACCCAAATGCAGCTCTGCCAGGCACCACAAAGCACGTCTCTGCAAGCTGGGCCTGACCCCCCAGCACCCACCTCTCAGTGACAGCGGGCAAGATGAAGAACATCCAGACATGGATGGCCAGCACCAGGACGACCTGGAAGGCCAGCTTGCCCAGCACGGTCTTGCGCAGGTAGAGGGCACGGTCGATGACCATAGTGCTGAACTGGATCAGCAGCATGACCAGGAAGGCTTCCGGAACCTGGTCATCTGACAGGGAGGACGTGATGTCCGTCGCCGCTGAGTGCTTCTGTGGCCAGGAAAGGAAGGGTCAGGGAGAGCTGGGGTGGCCGCTGGGCTCTGCGCTCACAGGGGCCCCTGAACCCAGCTCACCCCAAAGGCCCAAAAGCCAAACATGATGATGATGAAGTCGACCACGTCGGCCAGGAACATGAGGGCGTAGACGTCAGTGGCTGCACGGTACTTGGTGTGCAGGATGTCGTGGAAGAAACGCCGCAGGGGCCGGTACACGCTCTGGGCCCTGCGGACAGGCGGAAGGGAGCTCAGCTCAGGACCTTGGTTGCTCCCACCCGCCCCTCCCCTAGGCCACTCCCAGCTTGGTCACTCACAGGGACAGGCAGAAGGTCTGCAGCCGGATGCCCACCGCCCTCACTCTTTCCCGGTGACGACTCCGCCTCTTCTGTCCCCGAGAGGCGGCTGCTGCCTCCTGCTCCTCATCCTCAGTCTCGGCTTCTGTGGGGGAGTAGTCACCACCGATGGACTGAGGCCTAGTTCAGCTCCTGACCATCCTGAGAGCCCCCCAGGGGGCTGCCATCACCCCATTTCACAGACCAGCAGGCTAAGCACAGGCCCCCCCGGCACCACCAGCAGTGGGCCCCTGGGGCTGCATCCTCTGGCTGGCGTGGTGACTCCCATGTGAGAGCTGGGTGGGCTGGGGTGGTTGCAGATTGACAGGGACATGTACCAATGGCTGCCGGTCCTTTGGGTTCTGCCATCTCCTTCCTCCTCCTCCTGAAACGCAGACCGATGCGCTTCGTGTCGTGGGGCTTGATCTCCACGTGTGGCTCTGAGGGCCCATCTCTCACTTCTACTTGGATGTCATCCTTGGCGGTGGCCTCAGCCACCCCCAGCTCCTCCTGGGGCCCTGTGCTCTCCTCAGTCTGGAGTCCCAGCAGGGCTGGCTCCTCCTCAGGCTCCTCCTTCCCCTGGCCTCCGTCAGGCTCCTTGGAGAGCGGGTCTTCCTCGTGGTCCCAGAGGCCATAGCACTGTGGAAGGAAGGAAGGAGGGCCTTGGGGGGGCAGGCGTGGCTGCACGGGCAGCTCTTGGACCAGGCAAGATGGCCAGGCCCACCCCGGGACCCACAGTGTCCAGCTTCGCCTCCTGGAACAAGATGGCTGCGAGGTGCCCGCCTGCTGCCCACCTGCCCTGGCACCTGGCACTCACCAGCAGCTGGGAACGATGGAAGAAGAGGGCCAGGAGCTGCACCAGGTCGTACTTGATGTAGCCGTCAGTCTTCTCCAGGCCCAGGATGCGAGGCGGGAAGTAGGGCTTGTTCTCGTAGCGCCGCAGCACCGTGTGGCTGTTCCAGGGGAAGAAGCCAAACTGGAACAGGTATTTGGTGACCACCATGACCTGCGGGGCAGCGGGGCTCAGCATGGCGGGCGGGGCCAGGACCACCCCTTCCGCCCCCCAGGCCGCCGCCCACCTCAGTGAAGACGATGGCCGTCATCCAGAAGCGCTTGCTGGGCCGTGGGATGGACAGCATGGCCCACAAGAAGACCAGCACAGGCAACACGAGGGAGGTGGCCGAGGCGGTGACCATGTGGTTGAGAACAATGATGAAATAGCAGAGCAGCTCCGAGTGGGCAGCCACGCACTGGTACACGGCCTGCAGCAGCCGCAGCGCCCGGCCCTGCCCGGCCGCGAACTGCTCAGCCTCCTCCAGCTCTGGGATGCGCAGGCACCTGCAGGGCCCATGTTCAGGTAGGTTCTGGCCCCAGGCCTAGGCCCGCCTGCCCCCGGCCCCGCCGGCCGCCCCTCGCACACACCTGTCAAGGAGCAGCTCGCTGGCCGTGCGCATCCGGGTCCGGGTGCTAGCGGGAAGCTCTCGGGAGCCGTGTAGAGAAGCCCTGGGCTCGGTGACCATCTCCTCACTGCCACTGCGGGTGTTGTAGCCCGTGCTCAGGGGGCTGCTGGGGTCCTCAGGCGTGCTGCTTATGGGCTCTTCTGCCCCCAGCCCGCTGTGGGAGGGGAGGCTGGTCACAGACGGCAGGAGGGCCTCAAGGTCCCTGCGGGACAGGGGCTGGGAGGCTACGTGCCCAAGCATAGCGCTGGGGTGTCCCTGGCTCTGGGCCTGAGAGCAGGTCAGATGCAGTGGGTCCTGGCTTCCACTTGAGCCCCTGCAGCCCATACCTACCTCGAAGCTGTGCTAGGCACATCACGTGCCTCCGAGGGGCCTGTTGGCATGGCCTCAGCCTCACTCGAGTATAGCTGGTCCAGCACGCCCCGGTGCACCTCTCTACCCTGCAGGGCACACAAGGGGGGTAGGGAGGTGGTCCTCCCGGTGTGGGGGAGGAGGGGGTGGGACAGGCACAGGGGTAAGGTAGTGTGGCAGGGCATGGTGGCAGGGGTGGGGGTGTGATGGGGTCGCGGTATGGTGGCACCCACCCTGAGCAGCTCCTGGGTGAGCAGGTAGCGCTCAGCACGCAGCACGTTACTCATGGCGCGGTGGTGCCGAGTGAAGGTGTACAGCCAGCGCGTCAGCCCGTCCACCAGCGCCTGTCCCAGCACCCACAGGAACTGCATGGTGCTCAGCACCCGCTGCATCACATGGCTCCGGCCTGCAGGGAGGGGGATTGGCGTGAGAATCCTGGAGGGGCAGCCAGCGTGAGAACCCCAACCCCGAATCCCCAGGGCCCACGTACCTGCCACCTCGTCTGCTGGACCCTCTGCCAACTCTGCCTCTGGACGCGGGCCGCCTCCTGGGCATAAGGGAGCTGGTCAGCGCCTTGTAGCCCTACATTCCCCACCCACTACCCGCACTCAGCCGGACTCACCCACAGGCAGCTGTGCCTGCTCCTGCCGCCGCCGCCTCAGCACCGTCTGGGCGTTGGTCACCCATGCCTGGTACGCCATCTGCAGGACAGGGCCTCGGGTTAGCGCCTGCTTCCCAGGCCCAGTCGCCCTGGGCTCACCTCTGAGCTCCCAAGGAAGAGGAGGAGCCAGGGGTCAGCGCAGCTGGGGACCTGCAGCCTGAGCCGGGGCAGGAAGTGGGCCCCATGGGGCTGTTGTGGGAGGAAAGGGCAGTTTGCACAGCCCACCCGGCACATCACGGTTCTCACTTAGCACCCAGGCCTCAGGCCGGAACCAGGGACACAAAGGTGGACAAGAGGCTCCTGGCTCAGAAGACAGACGTGCAACCGGCAAACATAATGAGCCCTCTTGAAGGCCAGGCCACTGGTGGCCACCACAGGCCTGGGGGTCAGAGTTGGGACCGCAGAAGGAGGTGGGCAGAGGCACATAGCTGCCATGACCTATGGTCCCCCGTCTGGCTGGTAGACTCAGGAGGTCTGAACGGGGCTGGGCACCTGTCCTCCCTGTGCTGGCCTGGCCCAGGTGCTCCATGGACAGGGGAAGGCAGCCAGGGGACCCTTCCACCTCACCTGGAAGGCACTCTGTGCCGATGGCCTGGGGTCCTCGGGCTGGGCCT